CTTGCCAATCCTTAGTTGTATATGAATATGCAAATTATGTAGGAGGGTTTTCTCTCACAACACCTATCAAACTATTTCCCTAATACTGCTGTCTTCCTTCCTAAGGAGCTCTGGTAGCAAAGTGGGTCAGCACGGTCAGCAGTTCTAAACTACCAGCTGTTCCGCAGGAAAAAGATCTCAGAAACCCTATACAGGGTCACTATGAGTAGGAACTGACTCCACGGCACATAACAACTGTCTTCCTCCCTAATGTCTTTCAGATATGGGCCTTCTGGGCATTCAGGTGACACTGTGAGGCCTTTCCTACCTCTCTGTTCAATAAACTATAATTGTCCTAGTTCCCACCCTGCCCCTGACTTGTCCTCTTCTGATCGTCAAAGTGGTCTTTTTACTACACAATTCTAGGCATTTCATCCCATGATAGATACTCTTAAGCACTGGACTTTAACTACAGCATAAAGATGAAACTCTCCTGGTAGATACAAAAAGGTCCTTGATGGTTTCATTCTGTATATTTCTAGGGAAGTGAAACTTAATTGCTCTAACTCCTCTTCTTCTTTGAGAACAAGATAAAAGGTATGAATATTTCCTCAGAAAAATGTACAAAATTCTATAGGTACTTTCTAGGTTTCTTTTCTGCTTCTCATAGGCTATTTAACACAATTCTCTTTTATAATTTTCTAACATAATTTTCTTTATTATCACAGTGCAAGAAATGACCACATCAGTCTCTAACACTATAAGCTCCTAGGGAACACAATCTTAATATTACTTATTTAATATTATTTACTTTTCTGTCCATCATCCATAGAGAAAGTCTAGTATGTTATTGTTGTTAAATACTGTTGAGATGATTCTGACTCACAGCGACCCTGTATAGAGTTTCCAAGGAGCAGGTAGTGGGTTTGAACCGCTAATCTTATAGTTAGCAGTCTAGTACTTATCCTACAACACCACATCAGGACTCCAAGTCTAGTGTAGTGGTGCTCAATAATAATTTGTTAAATGAAGAAATTATATCCATAAATATATTTTAAATTTTGGAAACAGAAGTAAACTCCCATACATTAAAGTTTTTTATGACTAGCTTTCACTGATTTGTTGTAGAAAAGAAAATTTATACTAGTATACTTAAACAAACCAAAGCTTCCTTTAAGTACAATATGTTCACTACTACTGCTTCAGACATTAAGACAAAAATGTTAAAAGATGAATTAGAAGTTTGAAGGGAAGTGGATGAGTCTATTTGAGGAGAAGTTGTCCTGAGTAAACAAAAACATAAATGGAAATATGAATATCAAATCATGTCCTCAATTTGTATTACACAGTACAAGCTGTCTCTACTCCCTGTTCTTTTTGATTAATCCCTAAAGATTTTGTATTATTCATTCAGTCCTTCCATAGTTTATAATGGATGCCTACTAGGTATGTCTATTTAGAAGAAACATAAGTTTAGGAAATTAATTTTAAGGAAGATTGCTGTTGCTGTTGTTAAGTACAATAGAGTCAGTTCTGACAGCAACTTTGTATAGTATTTCCAAGGAGTGGCCAGTGAGTTTGAACTGCAGACCTTGCGGCTCAAGTTGACCGCTCAATCTGGTGCATTACCCTACAGCACCACATGTAACAATGGTGGGAAAACAACACAAGAAAAACACTGGAGCAAGCATGGGAATATGGAAAGAACAGACTCAAATTCAAGCCCCAATATTCATTACGAGGTGAACCTTGGTGAGATTATTTAAAACTCTATGGATAACATTTTCCTCATATTTAAAATGGAAAAAATGTCATATTTTAAAGGCTTGTAAAGATTAAGTGAGAGTGTATCTAAAATGCTTATTAATATTGATGTGGTGCTGTAGGATAAATATTTGACTGCAAGGTCAGTTGGAACTGGTGTTCAAAGTCACTAGCTGCTCTTCTGAAACCCTATATAGAGTCGCTATGAGTTAGAACCAACTCAACAGCACTTAATAACAAGCAAAAAATGGAGTTCTGGTGTGGTACTATAGGATAAGAACTGGACTGCCTGGAAATCCTATTCAAGACATTTTTCCATTTGGGCATTTTTCAGTGTGAGCAATTGTGTGTGTGGGGGTGGGTGGGGGGGCTTTTTCCCACATATACATCCTTCTAGCGAGCATTTATGGAAGTGGAATTTTTCTGTGTACAGTTTTCATGTGAGCGAGCTTTTTTCACTTGTGTTGTTTTTGTTTTTTTCATAACAGAAATCCATGCCTGACACCCCATGCTAATGGTTAACTACTGTCTTAATAGTGATTTGCAATTATGAATATCAGTAAAAACAACATAATAAAGAGAATATAAATATGAGAGAAGAAATTTTTTTAAAAAACAAGTATATTTAGCTTCTAAAAAGAAAGGGTCAATATGAAGTACAGCAGCCAAGAAAAGTTTTTACAGATCAGGAAGGAAATAAGGCAGCCTTAAAGAGGAGAAAAACATAAGAGTTTCTAAAAAAAAAGAACATTATCAATAAAGGTTTGAAATCCTGAGAAGCATGGGACACTTGGAGCCTCACAAAGAATTTTCTTAACTTTTAAGAAGCAAAAGGGGAAAAAAGCATGAAATAATTGTAGCTCCCATAATCAGGCAGAAATTATTGCAAAAATATATGCCTATTACAAAAATCAGCGCACTAGAGGTGTTGCAGGATAAGCACTAGAATGCTAATTACAAGGTCAGCAGTTCAAACCCACCAACCACTCCATGAGAGAACGATAAGGCTTTCTAACTCCCATAAAGATTTATCAAATGAAATCCTATACAGGGTTGCTATAACTCAGAATCTACTTGATGGCGCTTAACAACAATAATAAATATATAAATGATCAAAATGTATTCTTAAAATAAAGTAAATAAAATTAGTTTTGATAAAACATGATACAGGGTAGAGTAATTTGTAAAGAAAATGGCTAAAGCAAACAGAAAACTATCCCATACACAGCAAATAAATATAATTTTCCTTAAACTATTGTTCTGAAAATATGGAAACAGAAAAAAAATGCTTGAAAGACATTCAGGACACTTTGAAAATTACGTTTTCATTGCAAAAATAAAGACAAAACAAATATAAATCTATTCAAAAAGAAAATATTTCTTCCAATCTCCAAAAAAAAAACTAGGGGCAGAGAGAGGAATATGAAAGAATCACACACAAAAAGGAAAACTATAGCTAGGTTAATACATTTATAATAAGATCTAACAACAGGAAAGCCATAGTAAATATTACAAAATAGAATATTTTGTAATTTCAACCCACATATTGATAATTTAAATAATTTAAGTAAACTTTCATTTATCTCATCTGTCCAAACTTGCAGTCTTTTTTCAAGAGAAAAATTTAAAACATTGTTATAAAAATTAGTATTTAATATTTGAGCATAACAAGATTAAAACAAAGTACTATTTTTAACTTTATTTGCTGTAGTGCAAACTTGAAATCAATTTGTTTTTAAAACTCCTGAACTAACGACCACTAATTTTAGTCTTCAAATTCATTTGTATCATGTTTTAACTGATACTGAACACTTTGAATATGAATATGCTCTACTGTAGTATAGATGATATGATTGGTGTTCAGTCTTTTAAAGATGAGACCCTTATAACTGTCAACAATTTTTGAAGATTCTCCCATGCGAAATACAATGATTATTTACAATACTCTGAGTTCTACATTATCTTTTAAAATATACATATATTTGTTAATGATTAGCAATTAAACTAGATTCTGAAGTTGATCTGTCCATGGATGTAAGAACACCTTATAATAGCTGAATGGTTGAAGCGCTTCACTGCTCAGTAAAAGACCAATGGTTCCAACATACCAACCACTATACAGGAGAAAAACGTAGCAAGTAATGATTTCATCCTATAAGGTGACTAGGAGTCGGAATCAGCTTGAAAGCAATGGGTTTTGGTTTTGGTATAATAGATCTGTAACACCTCAGAGGTGTAAGCGTTATAGGACTGAAGCCATAATTTTAAAGTCAATTTAGAAAGGATATACTCCCACATTTGTTTGTGGTTCATAGTTTTCTATCATGTTTATACATTAAACCTGAAACGTAGATAAAGGAAAGTATAAGAACTCTCATTCTACAGATAAAAGTCTGGAGAAGCTAAGAAAATGGGCTATATTTAGGAGTTTTATAATGATGGAATTCCTACATTTTATTTGGTTACAACTTATTCATCTAGTTAGGGAAGAGTAATATAAAATGTGACTACAATTCTGCATAATAATCATTTTAGGGATACTAAAAGAGAATTAGGATAAGCATTCAACCTCAAAGTCAGTCTGAATCATAAGGTCAGCCATTCCTCGGAAACTCTGTACAGTGTTCCTAAGAGTCAAAACTGACTTGCAGCTACTTAGCAACAACAAAAGAAAACAGCAAAATGTGCTATACTATGTATGCTAAATAGACCCAGGGTCGCTATGGGTCGGAACTGACTCGACGGCACTTAACAACAATGCTAAATAGACAAGCCCACTTTTGACAAGTTTGTCATGAGTTAGTAAGAAAACAAATTTCTAAATACTGCAAAATTTCCACATTCCAATTTTTTTTTTTCATTTTGTGCGTTTCTAAATTAGATTGTCATTAATAATAAATCCAATTGTCTAGTTTATTTTTTAGTGATCTTAAAATAAATAAATGCTTTAAAATGTTATTAACACAATTCATTAATCAGTTAAGGATAAGTATCCAATTTTTTAAAAAATTTATAAGGTGCAATGCGAAAGTGTCAGAAATAATAAATTAAGGTTACTAGGAGACCTAAAAGCTGAAAGTCAAGAAAATATTGGAGATGAAACAAGGTTTTAAAGCATATTATTTTGGATTTTAAAAGACCTTCATGATACCATTTTTAAGGTGTGATTTTAAAAACAAAATGATGTTTCTTTTTTCTACCTCATTGCAAAGAACCATAAAAAGCAAATTTAAAGAGTGATGAAATAAAATGCTTACAGGTTTGTATCTCAGTGCATCTCTGTAGGATCCAAACAAAGCTGCCTGTGCCCTAAGGAAGGCCCTAGCTACTCCATCACCCGTAGCTGTAGACTGCTTCTTCAGTTTATTTTTCAAGGCCGAGACCTGCATGACAGAGAGGAACAGTTAAATTAACACCTCAGAAATTGGTACAGCGAGGTACGAACCCAATCAGCAGGCAAACCACAGTGTCTGCAGGTCAGCCAAAAATTCATCCTCCTCCCTGATAGCTTATCTTTTTAACTGCAGAGAGCACCTGCTGGTCTGTTAATTGAAACGAAAGCAGGAGATGATGGTAACGTGCTAATGCAAATTGGTTTATGCTCTCTTTTTTTTCCCAAGGCCTCTTGACATAAATAAGCTTTAATTATTTTACAGTAAACTGCTTGTGAGCCACTTTTCTGCAGATTTTTAGCAATTACAACATGTGTCTACTTGTTTTGAGATGAAGCCGGTTGGGTATCGTTCATTTCTGCTATGTAAGGTTATTTGTTATGGGTCCTCCAGGATCACTTACCATTCAATTTTATTTTGGGGAAGCCTAATTTGCATATGTAATTTTCCAGTCATTTGTTGAATAGTTTTCACTATATTAGATTTTAAAAGCTAAAAGTTATGGAAAACCTGCATCAAGGATATGTGATGCAAATTTTATGCACTGACTCATTTAATCTTCACAACATTCTTCTAAAATAAGCATTCACATTTTCATTTATGAATGAAGTAAAAGAGGCTCAAATACTGGGAATTAATCTGCTTTCACTATTTGGCTAATAAGTGGTAGGGGTGTGATTTTAACCAGGCTCTGTCCAGTTTCCTTCAACAAAACTTGCTACAATTGAGTTCACTGTCATTGCTTTATGATCCAGTAATTTTATTAAAATATTAATTTTTCTAAATCAAAGAAAAACTTACCTAGTAATTTACAAAATTAAAAAGGCATTTTCATGTGATACTTTTTTGTACTTGCTCCATACTTGAACATCATGTTGGATGTATTTTAGAGAATGCATATTATTTATCAACAGCCCTACTTAGCTGAATATTTGTAAATGCGATCACACTTCTGGTATATATCTAACTCACTTAACCAATTCACTTTAAAATAATGAAACTTATCTATACTCTTTATTAATGCTTAACATGGAAACATGAAATCATATAAAATTTTGTTTTCTTATGAAAAAAACAAGTGAAGGGACAAATCCTGGTTGCACAGCATATTTATATTCTTATGAAACCATCATATAACAAAACAATACCTTTTTCCTGTATGTATATACAAAAGAAGGAATATATTTTACTTCTTTATGCAAGCAGTCCTGGCTACTCTTGTAGATGATGATTGTAATTGAAGTGTCAACCTAATTAACAACTAAACTTTGAATAATGCTAATGAGAAATGAACACAGCATCAGAGGAAAGACCAGCTCTACAGGTGATAAACCTTCACAGTAGTGACATTTTCCAGTGTAAAGTCACAGTTACTGTGATCTGATCAAAGAAAGAGACCCCCATTGGGTCCAATTATAACCATAGTTTTGAAAAAATTATTGAGTTATGATGTTCATAATCTATGCAGAAAGGCCTTTGCAGTATAGGTCTTCTCCCCACAGCTGTGATCTTTTCAATTTATATCCAAGCTCCATAGATTCATATAAAAGTTTAGAGCCTAATTCATTTAGTCCACAAAGTGCATAAACCAAGATTCATTTAAGAGGGAGATTTTATTATTAATATCTAAGCTTAATAAATATATATTTTTAGGAAACCCAAAGTTTCAAAATAGTAAATACAGTTAAAAGATTCAAAAATAAATCTGAATTAATGTCATTTATTCTGAAGTTTGTAATACATTTTGTGTTTTTTTAATGGTATGAAATGTTAAGGAAAAAAAACAATGAGAATGAATATCAATACTAGTATTTACTGCAAATTACTGCAAACAGAAAAGACATGATGAAAGAACAATGATTCCAGTCGTTTAAGGCATTACAGAAATAAATTGTTGGTTGTTTTAAAATTTTCACTTAAAACAATAAAAATCTAATACACTTTTTTTTTTTTGCAAAAGAAAATTCTTCAGTATATATTTTTCTATAAAACAAGAATTTGACAATCTAGATCTCTACAAATCAAGGCTGCAATATTCTTAAAACAAATATAGCACACATATAAAAATGGAGGCAACTCAACATGTTCTTTAGCCTTCATTACCTAAGTAAGGTCTTGAGTGCTGAATTGCTGCTTGAGTTATGCAGGAATATTAATCATAATGCCCCAAGTCCTTCCTAAAAAGATCAGAATGGTGTGGCCTTCATTTCTAAAATTAGTTCATCATTGATCGTTCCAGCACTCCATTAGGATGTGTTGCTATTGTTAGGTGCCACTGAGTTGGTACCGATTCATAGATACCCTATGCACAACAGAACCTAGTCTTGGGTCAGCCACACAATCATTTCTACGTTTGAGTTCATTGCTGCTGCCACTGTGTCAATCCATCTCATTAGGGGTCTTCCTCTTTTGCTCTGCCCTCTACTTTACCAAACATGATAGCCTTCTCTAGGGGCTGGTCCCTCCTGACAATATGCTCGAAGTATGAGAGATAATGTCTGGCCGTCCTGGTTTTCAAAGAGCATTCTGGTTCGACTTCTTTCAACACAAATCTGTTGGCTCTTTTGGCAGTCCATAGTACTTCCAGTATTCTCCACCCACACCATTATCTCAAATGTATCAATTCCTCTATGATATTCCTTATTCACTGTGCAACTTTCACATGCATATGAGGTTACTGAAAACATTATGACTTGGGTCAAGCACACCTTAGTCCTCAAACTGATATCTTCACTCTTCAACACTTTAAAGAAGTCTTGTGCAGCAGATTTGCCTAATGCAATAAGTCATTTGATTTCTTGACTGTTGCTTCCATGAGTGTTGATCCAAACAAATGACAACTTCAATCGTTTTTCGATTTATGTGGATGTTGTTTGTTGGTCCACTAATGAAGGGTTTTGTTTTCTTTATATTGAGGTGCAACTCATACTGAAGGCTATGGTCTTTTATTTTCATCAGTATTTAAAGTCCCCTTTGCTTTCAGCAAGCAAGGTTGTATCATCTGCATATCGCAGGCTGTTAATCCTGATGCCAAATTTTTCTTCATATAATCCATTTTCTCAGATTACTTGCTCAGCATATAGACTGAATAAGTATGGTGAAAGAATACAACCTTGGTACACGTCTTTATAATTTTAAACCATTCAGTGTTTCCTTGTTCTGTTTGAATGACTGCTTCTTGGTCTACGTACAGGTTCCTCATGAGCACAATGAGGTGTTTAGGAATATTCATTCTCTGCAATGTTGTATATAGCTTGTTATCATCCACACAATCGAAAGCCTTTGTGTTGTAGTCAAGAAAGCACAGGTAAACATCTTTCTGGTATTCTCTGCTTTCAGCCAAAAGTTTGGATATGTAGAAAATAAAATTTTAATAAAAACGTGTTCTCAAAGTACAGTATCTAATATGGTAGCCACTATCCACACGAGCACTTGAAACGTGACTAGTCCAAACTGTGATGTGCTATAAGTTTAAAGTGAACAATGGATTTTGAAGGTTTAGTCAAACAAATGAATTACTATAGTAATTTTTATAAGGATTAAATGTTAAATATGGTGGAAAAAGCACTGCACTGGCAACCATGGGAACTGCAATTCAAATGCACCCGCTGCTCTCAGAAACTCTATGTGGTTGGAACTTATTAGACAGCATTTAACAATAACAACATACTTAATATAACTGTTTAAATCAAATACATTATGAAAATGAATCTTAACTCTCTTTTCCTCTTAGCAAAGGTATTTTAAATTCTAAATGTATTTGTTGTTCACATTATATTTTATTGGACAGTGCTATTATACATAGGACTCCTGGTTTGGCACTGTAAGATAAGCACTGGACTGCGAATCATAAGGTTGGCAGTTCAAACCCACCAGCTGCTCCTTGGAAACCCTGTCACTATCAGTCAGAATTGACTTGACGGAACTGAACAACAACATTGTACATAAGCATATTGTTTCATACAGAAATGTGAGATTAAAAAGTTACTTAGGAAGAAACATGGTTACACTTTTCATTTACTTATTTCTACATTATTTCAACTTCCATAAACTGCATAAAACAAGCTTTTCCTTGACTTACACTTATTCTAGTTGGCTTTGACTGTCAGTAAGTCTGAGGTCATTTCTGTTTTTCAGAGACCAGAAGAGCATCTTAGTTAAATATTTCTGTATGCTAAAATGAATGCTCAAAAATAAGCCTGCTGAATTTTTTTTTAAAAGGAAATAGCTTTTTTTTAAAAAAAAAAAAAATCAAGTTCAGATATAAGGTTATTAATCTAATATAAAATGATAGTGTCAACCTTGCTGTTTTTCTGGCCTTTAGATCACTGGAGTAAATTATCACCAGTTGCCATTGCCCTTTGCAGTGCTAATTAGCTTTTAGCAGTTTTTATCTATAAAAATGGTACTGTCTCTTCTGTACTTTTTCAATACTTGTTCTGGAAAATAGCATTTTCTGCTTTAATTTCCACACTTCTAAGTATAGTTATGAATCGGGCTGCTAACCTCAAAGTCGGCAGTTTGAAACTACCAGCTGTTCTGTGGGAAAAAGATGAGGCTTTCTGCTCCCGTAAAGATTTACAGCCTCAGAAACCCTGTGCAGGGTCACTATGAGTCAGAACTGACTCCACAGTACTTAACAACAACAACAACAAGTATAGTTATAAAATAAATTCTATCTTCCCATAACATCCTATAGCTTATACTCACATAAACTCTGAAACCAGACAAGCATTTGGAATCTTTGTCACATGACTGTTGCTGTTGTGTGCCTGTACAAGATTTGTGAGAGTGGCTGGTGTGTTTGAACTGCTGACCTTGCAGTATCAATGCAGTGCTTAACCTACAGTGCCAAACCAGGACTCTGCCATATGGTTTCTACGGCAAAATTCTATTGATACTGAAAACGTTAACAATTGTTGTTGTTTGTTTTGTTTTGTTTTTCTTTTGCTACTTAAAGTAAACTTAGCCTCAATATTCTCCAGTGACTA